GAAGTTATCAGAGAAAGAAGCTGAGTAAATGTTAGACAGTTCAGCTCTGAGACCTTCTCTTTATCTTTACCTACTATATCTTTTTTTTTCTATGTTTGTCAGCATGTGAACCATTTCAAAGGTTATGTTTAAGTGACGTTTAATCTTGTTAGAGTCTCCATTATTATAATGAACTAGCTCATGGGCTCTCTGGAGAACTGTCACCCCATTGAAACTGTGCTGAAGTAGAACAGTTTTGATAGAACCCAAGTCCATGTAGGTCATTATAAATAGCTGTAAAGGACGAGGAAGGATAAAAAAAGATGTGTGATTCCATCTTTTGGCCTAGTTAGATGCATCTTCCTACCTACAGGCACCTATAATATACATTCATTCATATACAACATGTGTGGGAATACAAATGATCCAGTAATCCACTCGTTTAAATGACTGACATCATAATGGATTTTGATTACTGCAAGAGAGAATTTATTGTATTATAAACACCAGACATTTCTAGTCAGCTTGTTTTTTACATAGTCTGAAGTTAAATGACCCCAGTTCCCTGTTAACCATAAACAACACTCCCGCCCAGTAAAGAGGAAGGCAGCAATGTATAAACGATGAAATCATTCACACCTCTCAGTTTTCAGAGGGTTTTGAGGGGCTGCTACATTCAGATATTCAGTAATAGAAGTGTGTGTGTGATGTATAGGAGACAGGAAGGTCTTTTCAAATGACAGTAAATTGACTTTTCTTTACATGCTCAGTTTTCACACTTAAACTAACACAATAAACTAACTGCAGCGCCATACATCATATACTGTACTATATACTATAGTAGAACCGCCTACCTTTCTCTATATAGTGGAGCTTTAGCTTTAAAATAATTCTTTGTGGGTTTGGCTATGTTTGCATTGTATTCTTAATATGTTCCCAGCCTTACTGTGAGGTATGTTACAGTTTCTTTTAACAGAAGAGAAGATAATAGAATAGACCAGTGGTTCCCAACCTGTAGGCTGCGAAGGTAGTGCAATTTGGCCGAAAAATATTTTGCAAAACAGTACAATTTTGGTGAAAAGATGTAATTATACATATATGTATGTGTGTGTGTGTATATATATATATATATATATATATATATATACTATATCTGCTGGACCACATCGTATACTTGTTTGCTATCTCAGTCTGATGACTGGAGAATCAAAATGGTTAGCTGGTCAGCAACAGGAAGAATTAAAAGGAAAGAGAGTTGAGAGACAGATGGTGACTCGACAAGTGATCTCTCCCCCGTCAAAAAAGAAGTATTGAGCTTCCCTGAAAGTTCAGTCGAATGTTCGATCGTTATCATTAAAATAAAAAAGTGCTCTTGCAACACATTATTTGGCCTGCGTATTGTTATGGTGTCAGATATGGGCTGCTGACATATTTGAGATTTTCAAGTGGGTCATGAGTTGGAAAAGGTTAGGAACCTCTGTAATAGATGACAGTGTGTAAACATCAAGCGTGTCACATCAGTTTACTGTTTTTAGGTGGGGTTTACTGCAGCTGCACAAGTAAGTTGTCGCTCACAGGAAAGTCTAAGTCAGTGTGATATGATTGTCTGCATGTCCTGGCACTTTATGTATTGTGTTGTGGTGCATTGTATGTGGTACCGTTTTTGTCCCACCCATTTAAAAAACGAAATTAAAAACAGCAGAAAGCAGATTAGTTCCTCCTCAAACTGATAAATAGTGCCTCTGTAGTGCCCATGTATGTAAAAAGTCTATTTATGCTCTCACCTCTCATGTGGATGAAGTCAGTGTAGCTGGTTTTCTACACTGACGAGCTGTTTGAGTAAAAGCTCTTAACCCCTGAGCCTTTTGTTAGATGGAGTAAGTGTGTACCAGTGCTCCTTCCTCAGAGCAAAGTGGCCATGTTAATGGAGGTTTTCAAGAGCTGAAGTCATGTAGCTGGAGGGTCATGTTACTCCTCTGACACTGCAACTTTGTCACCCGTAGGGTCACGGAAGATAAAATGTGGTTTAAACGAGAGTTCATTGTACACCTAAGCTTGAGCGTAAATGCATCAGCCCAGGAACGGCATTAGATTTTAAGAGCTTTTTTTTTTTTTCTGCGTCTGCCAGCCATGCGCAAAAAATGTTAAGTATCCCAGGGACAATGAGCAATCATTGACTTAGAGGAAATGCCATTCAAGCAGCCACTGAGTGAGCCACAGGGAGAACAGCCATTTCTAGAATATCTCCTTCATCACTCTTATAACTGTTGTGAAAGGCTTTTTGGGACTTTTAAGTTGAGATGTTTTATTTTCATTGTGTGTTTTTATATAAGAATCAAAACAATATCTTTTTATAGCAGTGTCCTGGTACACATTCACACACATTCACCGGCAGGATGTTCCTGGTACACACAGTTTGCTGCAGGGTAAAAGGTTTCTCTACTGATGCAGCAACAAGCTGTTTAACATTTCAGGCCACTGTCATCCACCACTTGTCCTTCTCCACCTCTGCGACTTCTTAACAGCAGAATCATTCTGCAGACTCCACAGCTCCTAACTTCAATTCTGTAACTATAATGTACGAGAAACTACACACTAAAGCTCATATGGACTTTTGTCCATATGAGCTTGACCCAGCCCATTATTACAATTAGGTGTGGTCAGGTGTTGGTTGTTGTACTTGTGACCACACCGAACTGTGATGTATCATAGTGCTGACGGAGCAAGCAGCAACCACTAGATGACACTGCAAGTTAGAGGTGGTGCTTTATCATATTGTTTACATCAATATATGGCAGTCAACTCCATGACTGAGTGTTTCCACCTTGAACTGCAGTGAACCAATGACAGTCTCATAAAAACAGATTCAGACAGCCAGGGTTTCATACGTCACAAACCTAAGGAACCAATCCTGTCAACTTGCTGGGACGGGGGGTGGGGCTAAATAAACCTTAAACCTTGTCAGTACAGAGAGCTAATAAACAACATAAACAAATAAAAGATGCTAACTGCGCTAACCGCTCTGATCCATCTGCTAGTCTCTGGTTCTGGTCTCAGACTCCTCATCTGAGTCTGGGTCTGACTGAGGCTCAAACATGTGGCTGAGTCTCTCTGATGTTTCCTCCTCTCACCATCTTGATACTCTCTGCTCTTTCACCTGTCCACCTGGAGCCAGCAGGTGGTGGGCGGGGCACAAGGCCTGATCCACATTTCTCAATCAGGGAGTAAGAGTAGATGTGCCTCCAGCCCCTTTTAAAGAGTTTTTAATTTACTTATGTGTATTTTTACATAGGTTAAAATGTGTCTGGAGAGGAACTTTAAGAAATAATACGCTAAAGGATCCACATCAAGATTGTTTAGCTATGTTTTTTGAAGTACTATCTGCCGATATATCCCAAATATTTATATTAGTATCTGCCTCAACAATTCAGTATTGGTTAGCCACAGAAAACGTCTTACCTCAGACATATCTTTGCATTTCTGTACTACAATTTCTTGATACTTATCAACCAGCATATACACCGAAACTGATTCAACTTTTGGTCGTTGTGGAGGCAGTGGTTTTGGACTATAATGCATTCATGACAAAGCGTTTCTAACATGAGGTCATGCCTTAATATTCAGAAAGTGTTTAAATGTCATGTGTTTATTTTAAGGCTATATCACTATTATTTGGTTATTAACCAGGGTATAATTATTCTTAAAGTGTGAAAATAGATTAGATTAGATTAGATTAGATTCAACTTTATTGTCATTGCACAGAGTACACGTACTAAGACAACGAAATGCAGTTAGTATCTAACCAGAAGTGCAAAAGAGCAGTTAAAGTGCAAGTGTGTGCTGTACAGGTATGTAAAGTGAGGGTGTGCATAAGTAAAGTGGAGATGTGCATATGTAGGGTACAATAAATTACACAATAAATTACACTGTGAAAATACAAGAAAATACAATGTGAAAACATGGACCAAGGACTCGGTCAGCCATATTATATCTGTTGCTTTATTTTATTGTCCTTGGGCAAGAACTTGAAGTGAAATAGCAGAAAAAGATTTGAATGCTGACGTCAAGTTATCAAATCATCTGGTTAGTGTTCTGGAGATAAGCAGATTCTTTAGTTACTGGATCAGAACATGTTTTTATTTTTTCTTTAAAAAAAAAAAAATGTAAACAGGATCAACTGAGTCATGAACATACTTTTCCTTTGAAATCAACTCTTTTCTTTGTGTTTTCCTGTTGCTCTGTCATGATGACTGACATTGGGGGGAACTGCATTAGAGCGACAGTAGGAGGGATTACAGCGACCCCACCTAGAGGCGAACAAGCTGCAGTTTCACATAGTGTCTACCACAAAGTTAGAGGAAGGAAATGCTTACACACACTCTGTAACGCACACACATACAGTACACGCTCTGAGAGAGGTCCTTTTAAGGAAGAGGCTCTGCTCTTGCCTGAGTGCTAAGTGGAGCAAAGGCAATGCCCTCAAATACAGACATATAAATACATACACACATTTACACACTGTTGTTACTGCATGTCTGAAGGTCTTCACAGGATTGTGTATTTCTAAATACAATTCAGGAGATACAATCAGAGTTTAAAGGACACATGATATTCTGTGTTTATAGACACTGGTAATCCAGTCTAGTGTGACACACTGCAGTGTCAGGTCTGTGCAGACTGGAAATCACCAGCTCTGATATGAATCTTTACTTGTATAACTGATTTTTTTAGGATCATTTGTACAACACTGCACCTTTCAATTAAGGATCCATTTATTCTTTGTGATTTGTCAGCTGGTAATTTAACATCTGGTACATTTACCTCCCAACAATGTGCCGCAGATTTCACCTCTTACAAGAACTCTGTCGAGGAACTGGACCACTGCTCACACGCTTGTTCAGCATTTACAGATTTTTAGATGTGAGCCATCTGAGACCGACTAAATTGGCTGCTGTCTCACTTCTCTTTTTCTATTTTCTTTCTCTCCGTGTTTCTATTTCTCTCTCTATCCGCCCCCTCAGGCCGAAGCCAGGCTGGCAGCAAAGAGGGCAGCCAGGGCAGAAGCCAGAGAGATCCGCATGAAGGAGCTGGAGCGACAACAGAAAGAGGTATACAAGTCAAAACACGCAACCACTTCTAAAAGGTCCCATATATTACACTTTTCCTTTGTTTAATCAGAAATGTTGATCCATTAGAAGATATATTTGTGGTTTTGAGAACCAAAATAACTCAATGTAGTTTTACATCTACTCTCCAAGGCTTCTCTCTGGAGCTCTAGTAACAGCAGGACAGTGAGGCTCAGTGTCTGAATACAGGCTGTGTGCATTTCTCTGTGGACTGAGGCTTTGATACTTTGACAGTATTAATATAGAACCTAGACCTGATCTATAATCAAACTACACATGGACATCTGTATTTATACTGTATGGACCGTTAAAACATTTTTTGAGGAGAGTTTTATCCATGTATCACTTCATGTCTTGGTACTTACTGTATAATAAACCCTAAACAGCTCAACTTTGGTGGACTTTAAAATACATTATTACATTCATGTTTGTGCTATTGTATGCTGCACAGATTGGTAATACATGACCCTAAATAACAAGGGGATTTCAGACGTCTTGTTAATTCTCTGTTGGCAGTTTGGACCTAAAGCATTTCCTGTCAACGCTGCCTTATGCTGGTAAGCTGCGACTCTTTGATCCTGTGGGTCACAGGTCAGGGGTGAAAACACGGTGCTAAAACCGCTGCTTTGAACAGAAATGTTTAGGTTAGAAAGTGCAAGAAAGTAAGTAAATAAGAAGAAAAACATTATGTACAAAGTCAGGACCAACTAATAAAACGCACACTTCCTGATAAATCAGGTCTTGACTAAAGTGTCATGACCAATCCTGTGAATTTATTTCAATAACTGTTGCTACAAAAATCTTATTTATAAAATGCCAGATGAACTTCTTAGAGACTATGTTAACGATGCAGAAAAAGATCAAAGACACAGTTTTACTCCACATACAGCATTTCCAATAATACAAGAACATCCCTGAGGGAAGTGACCAGCAAATGTGTATGTTTTTTACAGTGTAGGTTCCTCACAGCATGGTGAGGATTAACACACAGTCCGCCAAAGCAATGAGCAGAAAGTCCTTAAAGAGGCTCACTAATTACTCTTTCAAGAGGGGTTTGAACCTTTTCCAGTTAATATTAGGCCAAATTCACAAAAATCTTCTAAGACTTTAAATGGAAACTTTTCAAGTCACACACTTATTTAGAACTAAACTTTCACCACTTCCCTCAAACCAAAACACTTCCTGTTATCTGTAATGTACATGTTTGTTTTAGGAGAAGGTTTTTTTTTCAGTATGGACAAAAAGAATTGTTTTATTATAGTTGTGTTTATATTGCCCTGTCTCTTTGGGTAACTACATTATATACTGTACAATACATAATGTAGCTGTACTACTCATATTTACTCCTCTGGTTAGTAGTTGATGCCTCTGACCCTGATTCCCTTCAGAAATGAATCAGTAGGCTCTGCTGTGGACAGTAGGTATTAAATGTGATATTTATATATAATAATAATATTATTAAGTCCTTGTTTGCCAATAAGTAGCGCCAAAGTTATACACCATAGATAAAACACAAAGACCGAAGAGCCCTCAGCGTCCAGCACCTCCAGAGTCAGTGTTGGCACCATATTCAGATTTGTGTTGAACCAGGTGCACAGCTGAGAAGTCTGTGTGTGTGGTTGTGTGTTTGAATTGCAGATCAGCGGTGTGTTAGTTGTGTTTTTCTTTCTGTGGTTTAGCACCTCTGATCTGTACTGCAGGGAGGCAAACTTTTCCTGGCTCCCTATTCTTAACCTGGAGGTAATCCCATGCACACAAACAGACTTCTGTCACTCACCTGTTGAGACTGAACTTTTAAAGGTTGCCCAACATCTGTGTCCAGAGTTTGTTTTTGAAGTTAAGGCTCATAAAGCTGTAAATACATGCAACTCAGGTGGCCCTCAACTGGGACCTCCTCCCTGCTTAATAACTGGGTAATGTGTCTTGTTGTTAGTGTGATGGTTCGGACAAAAACAGTCCTCTGCTAGGGGTCGGCAAATCGGATAAAATCATCAAAATATATGTAACGTTTTGTCGTGATATTGATATATAATGCTGCAAGTTTCATTTCATTTATTTATTTTCACACATAAAACTTTACAAATACATTGTACATATATATATATTTCTATGAGGAGCATGTGCAGGTGAGAAAAGAAACCCAGGGCTTATGTTAAAACCTCACCTCAATGTAGCAATTTTAGATCATACAAAAAGAGAGATAATAATAAGTACTATAACAATACTAACAAACAATTAAATAAAAAAACCCTAAACAGAAAACCTACCCTGATTCCCATCTGAGTGCTTATTAATGCCTCTTTTAATTTTCTTTCAAAAGCAGGTAGCGAGGGTGAGGTGTCTACCAGGTGTAAGTTGGTACATCTCAATCGCATTATTGAAGAAATACAACCAGAGATAATTAAAGGGGTTGTTAGTTTAGTTAAAGCATGATTTGTTAACTTCTCACAATATATAGTCACGTTGCCCAACCCCATTCTCTCTCTTGATCACTTTCCGTCCCAGTGATCTGTTTAACAAAGATTTTTTTACTTGACACTAAAATAAACTCTTTTCCCATTAAGGTTTACTGGGATAATCAGCCAGTTCAGCCCACATTTAGTAATTCAGCAATCAAAACACAGGTGGTGAGCCCAAACAACAACAGTGTGAACACAATCATACGCACTGGATTAACAGGCATTGTTAAGCTGAGTCTGGTGTGTGTGTGTGAGTGTGTGTGTGTGTGTGTGTGTGGGGGTGTGGGTGTGTGTGTGTGTGGGTGTGTGTCTTTAAACCCTTTAGCCGAGTTCTAAAGTAGCTTAGCAGGCTGCGCTCCTTGGTCCAGGCTCCAGTGGAGCAGTTGTTGTTGTTGCGGTGTTGTTGACATGAGGGATGGGTCGCTGCGTTCACAGACACCTTCGGAACGTTTGGATGTTTTCTCGCACACTGAAGACAGAACTTAAAGGTGGATTACTTGCTTTATAGCAGAAGCGTATGGTTGCCTCTCTTGTTCTGGGCTGAAATCTCAGTGCTGCGTCCCGCTGTGATTTTACCCACATGACCGGCTGCGGTCTCACCTGCTGACTGCTGAAGGATGCGACCTTTCCTGGTACCCTGAGGGCAGCAGGACGGCCGGGCGTCGGCTGGCAGGGAGGGGGCTGAGGGCTGCCCTCACTGGGCGCCCAGGAACCCCTCCGATCAAGAAGGGGAGCTCGGTGAGTTGAACAGAATGGTGGCAAACGTAAGCAGATTGTGTAACCCGTTTGATGAATGGGCTTATGACGGTGCCTGGCTCAGTTGCTAATTGGGTGTCCAGACACATAAGTAGTATGCAAGATTCCTCCAGTCAGTTATTAATCTGTTCTGGACTGTGCAATCATCATTTGTGCCACATGATGCTCTGGTGCATCTTGATCTTCATATTTTACAGTTGTCAGTATAACTGGAAACAACATATTTTGCTTTTTAGCAGCTAGAAAAATGTGAGCAGAGAGAGTTGGCAGGTCAGGGGACATGCAGCATAGGTACACAGAGATTGAAGTTGCTATGCATCTATCTGTTTTAACTATTAGTGCACACGGTGTGTTTTTTTTTCCTTATTAGTGCACACGGTGTGTTTTTTTTTCCTTCTGGTAATGGAACAATAGGGATTTTTAATGGGAATAATATGAAATGATGAAATATATTATTCCTGCATGGATAACAGCTGTAATGTATCAGTGCTTCCTGGCATCTCCCTTCATTTATGGTGTGATATTTTACTGATAAGTCTGACTTCTGAATCTCAAAGTCACCTTCTTGGAAGTGACGACTTAGTTTTTCTAAGTCAGCTGTAGTAAGAGGTCGTCAGTGCGAGACCTTCCATGACCTTTCATCTCGAATGAACCTATAAATTAAGAGCAGTGGATAAGCCGTCTCCCATTGATTATCTAGGATTGCTGCTGTTGCTGGAGTGATGCGCTGGACAAAGAGGTCAGCCGCAAATCGATTTCTGAAAGCCCGAATCACAAAGCAGGAAATCTGTATATTGGGCAAGCACACACGGAGACAGTGGCGGTAAATCTGGATTAAAGCACTGGGGCGATGGGATGGAAAGTGAGGACAGTGAGGGTGGGGTGTGTTTTCAGTCTGTGTTGTGTTTGGTCAGAGGCATGAGATACAGAAGACATTTTATTTTCAAAGCATGTGTCTGAAATGGTAAATGAAGCTGCAGAGAAAGAAGTGGTGGTTGATTATTGTATTAACAGAAATGAATTTTATTTATTATCTGTTATGATGACCTGAAGTAGCTTTGATGGATTTAAGAGCAGGTCAATCACAAAGACAAGAATTTGGATGCTGCAGCTGATTTCATTTGTTTACTTCAGCTCCTGCAGGTGAGTGAAGGATGAGTCCGCCTTATTCTCCTGTGCTGTGATATTTCTTCATTTTTTAATTATCTGTTTATTTCGATCTTAAAATGTTTGGAAAACTGATTGTCGATGTATCAGTGAAAAGAGATCTCTGTTGAGGTTATAGAGATCTCTGATGAGACTCCTCTTGTTGATCATCAGCCTACATTTCCTGTTTAGAGAACACACTGATTTTGGTTCAGTACCAGGATCTGTCAGTCACAGGGACATAGACCTGAAAGTGACACTGCAGCTGAAACCAACCATAAGGAACCATGGGAAAATGCCTGGTCATGCTAAGTCTAAGAGGTCTTTAAATCTCCAGTGAACTTGTGTTCTCGGGTCTATCACGTCTGGTCCTGCCGTGCAGGGGGGTACTTCACATTCCTGAGCTCCTCATGTTTTTTTTTCTTCTTCTTCTTCTTGCATGTCTTTCTGTGACGACCGCTGACTTTCCAATAGCACACAACTTCATATGTTTCTCCATCACATCTCATTTTTGTGGCTGATTTTATTTTTTTCCTATTTTCATGTTCCAATCTCTTTCCTCTACCCCTCCTCGGTGTCGGTGTGTAGATCTTTCAGGTGCAGAAGGTAGGCCTCCTCTTTCCCACCTCAGACAGTATTTGATTTAACCTTGGTTATGTAATAATCCAACGCATATGCTTCAAATTTTGCCCAAAGAAAATAATGGAAGACTATTACCTGTGGGTTTTTTTCTGAACTGTATTTCTCTCCTATTTCTCTGCCCTCATTTCTTGTCTCTTCTTAGAAGTATTATGGCTTGAACACCAAATACGATGACCGTGCGGACAACAAATGGGAAAATATAGAACAATGGATGGTACAGTTTCTGTGCTGTGATAGCAACACTTAAAACAAACCTTGTACTAAACACTATGCATGTGTTTGTGGGAGGTTTTTACAGTACGCCGAGTTTGCTTTTGAATTCCTGTCAAGCCTTTTTAGAAAATAACAGATTATAATGAATCAAAGCTTTGGCCATTAATGATAATCCACTTAGTGGAAGGAGCAGGGAGCCCGTTTGGCTTTGAATCAGCATGACCATCTGCCCTGTCGTGTGAGACTGCATGGGATTTACTGTGTTGAATGCACCGGTTTAATTACTTGGTTTGAATCGTCCCATATCATAAGAGACGTTCGAACCAACAGTGAGGATACCTAATGTGTATGTGTGTGTGTGTCTACTTTGACTAACGTGGTGCGTTTTTGACTGAAATAATTCACTGACACTGAGAGGTGATGAGATTTTGCTGCAGTTTGAAGTGACAACAGAGATTTTGAGTTTCTTGCCGTGTTTTTGTAGCTAACTGAGTGTGTCAGTGGTTTCTTAGTTGGTATACCGGTTGAATGTGATAATCTTAAGAACATTCATGGCTGCCTCTGTGAGAGTCCTTTACATCAGGCCTTGGGAAAAAAATCTATATTTTTCAGTGCCTTGGTATAAAATGTGTGTAACACAAATGGATTCAAATGAAACCAAAAGCAGGTGATGTATCCTGGTTCACCTCAAACTGTTTTACTTCATGTGATGTCGTAGTATTTTATCTAATCTGAATCCAGATCTGCTCATGAAATCTGGATCCTTTCAGATCCCTTATCTTTCTGTCTTGTTAGGTAGTTTGTTTGGTGGGAACGTCTCTACTGACTCTGTTTCACCTAATCCACAGAGACTCCACTGTGCTGACAGAGTGCTCTGTTACATTCATTAACCCTGTCCTGACTCCTGGTCTTCACTGTGCTGCAGCTGCAGAAGCTGCTGTAGAAGCTAAAGTAAAAACAACACAGTGATAAGAAACAATAATACTAATTTGCTTCATCATTCAGCAAATATCAACTAAATAAGTTCCAGATTTTTCTGCCTGCAAGATTCACTTAACATTATTATTACATGAAATAGTTAATGCAGTGTTGCAGGAGACCGAATCTGATGGGTGACAGAATATGGTGTACCACTGGTTGTCCTTCTCAAGTTAACAATTCCATGTTCTTATTTTAGCATGATGGGCGGTAGATAAATATTTAACCCTCCCACAAATATTGCATTTTGAAGTTGCTTGATTTAGGTGAATTGTATCCACACTTTGGATCGTCGGCCACGTTCAGTTTGTCAGTTTCCTTAACAACAGTGTTGCTGAGTTACCACATGTTTATATATTATAACATTACCAGTTTTTTGTTCTTTGCAGACACCTGTAGTGTAAGTGCTATCAGAACCCATACCATAAATGTACATGTGGACATTCCTTCCTAATATTACATCTTATTGGCCGAGATCATCATAGTACATCACAGTATCATGGTCAACAATAGATTTCCAGTGACTTAAAAACATTTGTCTTGGGGCTGGAATGTAAACACAAACTCCCTGGACCAGCAGTTATCTTCCTCATCCATCTGTTTCATTGACCTTTGACATTTCTCTCTTGCTTCACACTCTTCTCTCTTCTTCATCCCCTCTCCTCTTCATCTTTACTACCCCCCCCCCTCCCCCCAATCCAGGAGGACAGTGAGAGATACTCACGTTCTTCACAGATACACATGGTTTGTAGCCTTCCCTCTGTTTCCATCTCCTCATGCATTTCCTCTGTGCTGTGATCTGTCTTCCATCACATGGAAAAAGACAACAGGAAGAAACTAGTTAGTTAATTTCAGACTGACAGATTCAGCAGTATGGTGTCATAAAAACATATAGTAAATATATATTGTAAATTCTCACTGAATAGTGGCTGTTATTTAAAAGGGTCTTGTATTTGGAAAATGCGTATATTTGAGCAACAGGCCTTAATCACTAGTTTTCCTTGTTTTATTTCATCATATAGTAATAAGAGGTGTCTCTGTTTTTTAATGTGCTTAATCTGCTCTTAATGCTGTTTACTGTAAATATAAACTCAGAACGTCCTTCTTGTTCACCTGCTGTCTTGATAATAATTCAGGATAATCTATATTTTCACAGCACCAATTCCATCAGTGCAACATAAATGAAGTTATTTTATGCAAACAAATTAGCAGGAAGTGTTGAGTTTCATTGACTTTAGCTTGACAACAATTAAAAACACGGAAATGAGTGATGAGAATTAGTGGAAAAAATATATTTGTTAAAAAGAAACTATGCTGGATTTATTATTCTATGTTCTGATATGTATGTGTCTCTATAGTACAGGAATTTTTTTTTTTTAATCTGGCCTTTATTAGTGATGTACCTGAGCTAGCCAGGCTAACAGACTCAGACATTCTTTGACTACTGGCTTTTATTTAAGGAAGTATGTATTACAAAGCACTGAAGGAAATTATAATTGTTTTTTTAAATACCACTTTAATTGTAATAAAGATCTTTTTGACCTTAAGTACGTGATTTCAGCAACAACAAAGGTCACAAAGAACAATCTTAGAATGAACCACTCCTGTCAGAATCCACTGTTCAGTGTCATTGTTGATGTTCCTCATACACTGTGTTCTGTTTCAAAGCTCTAACCGTCCATTTCAATCTCTTGCTCTCTCACACAGCTCTCAGACGACGATGAGCGGATGTCAGTGGGAAGCCGGGGCAGTGTCAGGGTCAGTATGATTCAAACAGCACATGCAACAAAAATCCAAAACCTCTCTTCAAACCTTTTTCTTTCTTTCTTTTTTTTTTGTTCCTGTCAGACATTATCAAGCACGACTTTTGCTTTTTGAATGACAAAGAATGGACCTCCTCCTCCTAGTGTGTCTGTCCTTGATAACATAACAAGGTGCTGTCAGTGTGGGTGGCACTTGTTGGTGATGATGTTGTTGTGTGTTTTTGCAACAGTCGGATCTTGACGCAGTCGGGGCGTATGGTGGAGGGGTAAGGGCGGATATTGTTGAAACATACACTGTGGATTAGTTTTTAACCTTCTGCCTGAAGATTTGTAGTGAATGGATTGTAGATGACTAACAGCTGGTTTCTTCTTGCATTTACCTCTTTAATATAAAGCATGTTTTCTGTGTTAAACTTTTTGTCTAGCGTATGAATTAAATGGATCTTAGCAGTGAAACACATAATTAGCTGTGTCCCAGTTCAGACGCCGCATCCTTCAGAGGCTTCATTTGAAAATTTGATTGAGTCACAGTGCGGCAACTAGACTGTCCCATTTCAAAAGGCTGCTCCAAATGCAGCCTTTTTTTACTGGGCAACTGTTCCTGGATTCTTCGTGGCCCAATCTATCCCAAGATTCATTGTGTACCACTAATGAAAATAATATGGCAGCAAACAAAGCCAGCAGAGAGCCAGAGTATTACACTGTTAAATGTAAGTATCAGCTCAGTTCAACAGCTAACGGTACAGCTGTTAAAACCAAGAGCCTTACAACCCCAAGTTTTTGTGTGGAAATGTTGGGTATTGTCATGGTTGCTAGGCAACAGGAGCCACACCGGCACAGCTAGTGATGCAAATCGAAAATCTTCTGGAGGCCAGACCGTCTCATTTCGGTTCAGCCTTCGCAGTGACTAGAAAGGGTCACGCCTTCGTCTGAACTGGGACACAGTCATTGAGTTTTATATTCTCTCCACATTTTGCAAGATACATGTGAATCCTGTGTTTTTCTGGTTTATAATTTTAGTGCTTGTGCTTGAAAAGGAAAAACTGAGTTGTTGCTCCATGTGGGAAACAATACGTGAACCTGGACAAACTGAGTTTGATGTGATTCTGTGAAGGGATCATGTTGGGTCATGTATTTGTTTTTGCTGTTGTGAAGGAACATTGCCTACCTCAGAGTCAGATAGATTTGATTTGAACACAATGTTAGAGTCTCCTCGCTCCAACCAAAACACAGTTGGTCCTATTTTAGCCTCTGTTATGTCTCTAAATGTTAAGTGCTGTTTTTTTTCTGTTCTACGTAATAGTGGAAAAATTCTTCATACTAATCACTGTGATGGCTGTACTAGATCTTGAATATTTGGCTCAGTCAGTTTGTTGCATGTCAATAAATTGTGACCTTGAGTTGTTTTTACCAGTGTGAAGAGTCCATTGTGCACGTGGATGTGTTGTGTGTCACCTGGTGCTTTGCAAATGGTTTAAAATGTCAGTTTGTCATTCTGGTTTTTGGGGTGAGATGTCGTGTTTTCCCTCCTCATGCTTCTCCCTCTCCTCCTTCGCTCTAAGGGCTCCTCACATAAGAAGTCAAAGAAAAAGAAGAAACATAAGCACAAAGACAGAGACGTATGTAAAAGCTCAAACTGCTCAAACGGCCTTCACAGAAATGCTGTCGGTGTTTCTCACTCGTCTTCTTTATTCGCAGAGGAACGGCTGCGACGACGATTACAGCGTCGTGTCCAGCAGGGTTAGTAGCCGTGTGCTGAACTGAGTGTTTGTGTTTGGTCAGTTGTAGAGTAAGGAAAGTTGCATGATCCCACCTGGAGAAGGAAAGTAACACAGAAGCTGCGTCCCGTCACTCACGACTGTCTCCTCTCTCTCACGCTGTCAGAGCTCAAGACTCAGTGATGAAAGCAGAGTGTCCCGCTCCTCCAGGCTGGACCTGACGGTGCGTGTCGGCCCCCTCTCACACATGTTACTGAACGGCTCTTTGCTCAGTCTTCAAAACATTACAGAGCTTTGATGTTTGTGTTGAGGAGAAACTAGTCTGTTGACGCTTTCTGCAGTGAGTGGACCAGAGAAACCACAGTGTTTTGGTATGAAATCTAGTTACCTGGCAACTTTGATGGTTGTGTGATTGTTGCCAGGCTGAAACAGGATGTGACATGTTGAGGTCATTAAGAACCATTTAGTAGAGAGGAAAACGTTCTGGGGTTTCTTTGTCTGAGAAATCTCTTGAAGATGACATAATTTCCCAGTTCCTGTTTCTGCCCTCTGCTGCAGTGGAGCTGTACAAAGCTGAGTTTGTACAAAGGAATCTAATCACCTGGAAAAATGAATAGGGCATAACTGTGGAAGGCTACAATAAGCCATGGATAAAGTCTGCTTGAAATAAAACTAAGAAGAACAAATGTCAACTTTAAATGACAAAGAAAGAACCACTGGTTAAGATATAAGAAATAAGTGGCAGCGACTTTTTCATTAATCCTTGTTATCATTCCTGTGAAAGGAAGAACTGAAGCTCCTCAACACAAAAAATGTTCATTAAAAAAAAAACATAATATTACATGGCTTGAAAACCTGCCTCATTAATTTTACACAATTATTTCTGCCCCTGTCTGGCTGAAAGTGTTCAACCAAACCTCTGTAAAGGATATGTTAGTTTTCCATTAAACCCAGTATTGATATAATTCGTTTCTAGACTAATAGCTGGAGTCAGGACTGTATTTGAAAGTATTTGAATGGTTACATTTTTTTGTTCTTCAGGCTCTGAGCTTGGGCATGTTCAATTTGAAATAAAATGATAGAAGCTTAATTAAAGCACCAAGTCTGAGCTTTACTTTGAGGACGTTTACATCCATATAGAAAGAACTGTGGTGGAGATATAGTCATTTTAACACATTCTGCCCAAAGTTCAAGGGCTCAAAATTAAGTGGACAAATACACATGAGGTCAAACAATATCATCATATTTAATATTTAGTGGAAAATCCTTTGTCTGTAGATCAGCAGACTCTTTGTATCTTTCCTGGCGATCAGGTTGTAATCAGGTGATTGACTCAGCCAGTCAAGGATATTCCCAGTGGGGGAACCATCAGGAGATGGCCTCTTTGCTCTGGGCACCCAGAGTCTAGGATCACCACTAGATTTCCCACCTCCTGAAATGTGGTCCATTGAGTTTTGATTCATTAAACTGAATCTGAGCTTGTGTAGACCTCTGTATTCACCCTGCTGTTTCCATCAGCAGGGAAACTGTCAATAAATGAGAGTGTGTCAGTTCCATTGGCAGCTACATGCCCGAGCCACAACAGAACCAGCTGCGTGTTTGACAGATGAGGTGGTGGCTGTGGGTCATGAGCTGCTCCTTTTATTCTCCACACTTTCCTCTTTTCATCATTTTGACAGAGGATGATTTTCTTTTCATCAGTCTGTAGAACTACGGACACTACTACACCTTGTGGTGAATCCTCTGAGATTCTAGTCGACAGATTTTCTTGATCGTCGATAAGAAAAAATGTCTGCCTACATCCTGCAGAGCATTCTTGACTTGCTGTAAAGTCATAAAGGGGTTTTTCTCCACCATGCAAATGAGTTTTGCTCATCCACCTCATGAACCCAAAACCAACAAAAAATGAGTAACTCTCCAAATACTTGCGGTCTGGACTGTACATATCAATAACATGTGATGTGCCATGAAGTTGAACTTGGTGATGTTGAAGTATAGCTGTGTGCAGTCAGAGGGATGTTGATGTTGTTAGCTGTGCTCCCCAACTCTCAGAGCTCCAGACTGAGTGATGACAGCCGAGTGTCTCGTGCCTCCAGATTAGACCTGCAGCCGGTGGGTGGCACTGCACTCACAACAGTAACGGCCTGTGGTGTGCGCTAACGTTTATGTCTAAAGGTGTGATTATTAACAAAATGTCTATGTGTGAAAGTTTGGATTATTTCTATTCAACATATGTTTACTGAGGAATGTAGTGGTTCTAATTAAGATGTTCCCTAAAGAATATGTGCGTGCGTGCGTGCGTGCGTGCGTATTTTTATAAAACTTCCTGTCTTTGTGTTGAATTTCCTAGAGATGTCTTGACACAGTAGAATCAGTAAAGTGATGTGATATTAAATATGTTTTCTGTTGAGGTCTGGATCTCTGTACGCAGCAGTCAGACACACTGATTGTCTTGTTGTGTTTCCTGTATTAAAAACAAGCTACACTCATGACTTCCAGTGATGAATGTCTGTGCATGTTTGACTTTTCCTGGGAAGCAGCCACAAAAGCCTGGTTATAGGTTAAAATGGAGTATTAATTTAATTGGTTTGTGCATCTGTGTGTGTTTATAATTTGCTCCACACATATATAGAAAGTTTGAGTCGCACTACGATGCTTCTCACTCACTGCTAACAGGTACAAGTTTCACTTCTGGTGAAATTTTGTTGGGTGACCTTCAGTGACCTCCTTCTCTTGGCTCATTTCTCCTGCTTCCTTCCTCCTCTCTCCTCACCTCAGAGCTCTTATGCTTCCTCTGACCTGTACAGTCTCAACGGTCTGTCCTCCTCCAGAAACCCCGGTTCAGCTTTCAATGGTTACCAGGTCTGTATACAGACGAACGCCAGATGGACACATACATGTAAACACCTGGGGGGAAAAACACTTGACAAATCTTTGCTGCTCCTCTGCTGCTGAGCCTTTAACCACTGACGCTCTTTGGAGGAGACAAAAGAGAACTGAGGAAGTTATTGTGAAGTTAAATCTGTCTTCATTCACCTGCTGTCTTCTCTGCAGTTCCACAGGTCACTCAGTCAGATCAGCCAGCAGCTCTATCGTAGGGTTGGTTCCTTTCATTTTCAGCTTGCCTTTTCCCCACTGTGACTTCCACTCACTGTTAACTCACCAAAGGGCTGAAAATTAATGAAATATTATTGAAATCACAATATGGCCAAGTGCGATATCCAACTTGCAGGAGTTGCAAAAGTAAAATGTGTCACAACAGACCATAAATGAAGCATTGTGGTGCTACAGAGACGTCCTGGACTACAAATCATGTCCTCCAGATGTAAAGAAACAAAAATCATCATCAATTTTTCAATTTTTTTCAGTGAAATTGAAAATGTAAAAATGACCGCTCCAACTGAAATCTTGACTCATATCCCAATATCTGCCGAGATAATCACAAGATTTTATTTATTCATCGTTCAGCCCTAACTCACGCCACTGTTCTTATGGGCACATAATACTAAGCTTGTTTGTCCCAAGAGCAAAGGATTTGATGGTTAAGTCAAGAGCTTCCAGTTAATGTTCTTAAATTCACCCAGTCACTGCTTATCACTGTATGTTTGAGTTTTGAATGAAGCCACATATTAGGCACTGAAGGTAACTCTAGACTTCACAGCTGAGCAGAAAAGCATGTAGTAAAATGTCTATTAGAGAAATAGAATTGTCTGTTCACACTGCTGAAGCGGCTTGTACTTTGTGTGTGTGTGTGTGTGTGTGTGTGTGTGTGTGTGTGTGTGTGTGTGTGTGTGTGTGTGTGTGTGTGTGTGTGTGTGTGTGTGTGTGACATGTCACATGTGCAGAGCTCCTTGTATGACGACTCTGCAAGTCTCTGCAGTGGAACACGGCGAGTCTCAGGCTCCAGCTGCCATGTAAGAGTTTGTTGGTTTGACACAACTGAGACTTTGTGTGTGTGAACAGTGTTTTTTTTTTTTTGTGGTGAAATTGAGATTTGTTTTTGTTTTGTTCTTACATCAGTTGGACCTTCCCTCAATTTTTAGTGACTTGACTCATAGTGATTTTCTTGCTGCTGCATGTGAAATTCTTTAAGTCTAATTCTAGTCCAAAAGAAAGTGTCATTTCTGTAAGTTGTTCAAATGAGGACGGGATCATAATGCACTAAACTAACAGTGATTTAGATTCTGAATTGTGGTCTCACTTCTCTGCCTATGATGCGTTTGATGTGCATGTTTGTGTGACTCCACGTACACACAGAAACATGACGGTGTGTTTCCTCTGCAGCCTTTAGAGTACACTAGTTATCGCGGCTCCAGCTCCAGAGCCTCCAGCAGGGCCAGTTCAGCCCGCGCCAGCCCAGTGGTGAGCCCTCACTCCACAGACACCCTGCTGCCTGCTCGGGGCTTTAAAGTGCATTAGCCCACAGTATAAAATGATGATGCTCTTACACTACAACATTAAGCTTATGATTCACTGTTTGACTTTAGAGGAATTCAATACATCATCACGCTGTGTTCGCGCCGGGCGTCGCAGTGAGTCACAGTTGGCAGAATCTAACAGTGTCAAAACATAATTTGTTCTGTCAGCAGAACACAAGCAGGTATTACCTGGTGGACCTGTACAGCAGAGTGTGTGCAGCACATTAATAAGTTGTTGTAATGTTAGTGAGTCATGAACTGAAGCTTTAGTCCCTGCAACAAAATCACATCATGCCTGAAATGTAACTATGAAAAAGTGAAGTGCACGGACTGTGTGTCATTAATCCAGTTCACTGAGTCTTGGAAGAGCCACAGTGCAGTTGCTGACTGGAGCCATCTGTCACAAGCCTGTAGCTGCGAAGTGCTTTAGTTCAGACTCGTTAGGCACAAAAAAAAAGTCTGTTTTTTTTTAGATTTCTGTTGAATTATCAGCCTTGAGTTTATGAAGCAGTGGACCTCATCACTAAACAGAAATCTTGCACTACGGCTTGTGTCTCCGCTAAGGATTTCAAAATTCACTGTCAAGGAGTCACCATGACTCAGAATTGAGATAAATGAACCATACATTCTTGCTAATGGACATCATATTCTCAGATAGCAGAATTAAACTTCTGGCCCAACATAGGCCTGGGTCATCAGCCCGAGTCTGGCCCATATACTTCCACGTCTGGGCAGATTCCAGCTGTCATCTTGTAGACAGCTGCAAGACAGCTGCAAGATTTTCCATGTGTGTGCCAGAATTGGTCCAGATGTGGAGCAGTAGCATCCAACAGTCATGACGTATATGGGCCAGATTTGGGCCGTGGAAACAGGCGTATACTGGGCCAGAAGAAAAACAAGAATTTATCATTTATTTTTCTACCTGGGTTGCATTCATTATGTGTTAGTGCTGAGCCTTTTATTTCATACATGCAGTTTGTTCAGTTTTCTCTCTTTCTTTGAGAAAATACAAAATAAAAGCAAAAAGTTATCATAGATAATATGTTTATTATTTGTGTGTTGGCTCTTAATGACTCTTCAATAGAGACAGACAGTCCTGTTTAAAAAGAAAAAAAAAAGGAAATTTGAGGTAGTAGCTGAATTAGATTTAGGAGTAAACAATCATTTCTAAATAATTCTCTACTCTCAGCATCTTCCAGTGATTTTCTATCTGGCTGCTTTCTGCTGACCTACTCTGTGTTTGGTTTCCTTGTTGTTGTTGTTGTTTCGCCCCCTGGTGGCTCATGTAGGACAACTGTGGCTCTGTTGCCAGTTTTTTGAGGAGTGCGGCCAGTAGCAGTGGCCTCCCCCGGGACCTGGACGACGTTACTATTCCTGACTTTTCAGATGTGAGTCGGTTTGCACCAGCAGGAGGCCGAGGCTGTGAAGTGAGCTGAATTTCTGCTTGGTTGCTTCCTTTTTGTGCACTTTGTGTGAAGATGACCCATTCGTCCCATCACCAGATTGTTTGTGTGTGTGTGTGTGTGTGTGTGTGTGTGTGTGTGCGCGTGCGTGCGTGTGTGTGGCGAGGAGCAAAGATTGTGAATGACATGACGTTTCAAGTGTTTTTTAACACATTTGAATTTTTGTCATGATACGTTGTGGTGGTTTTAATTTCCAAGGTGTTTTGACACCACTCTACTAATTATTTGCATGGTGTTATATATCAAAATAAACGTGTGCCTTTTCTTAATGTGTCCATGAATAGAAAGCAGATCGGAGGACTTGGTGGTGTAGTTTCGTCTGTTGCTTTTTTTTTTGGGATATATAAAGATAAATCTGCTGAGCTGCCTGTGCAAGGATTTTGGGACTTCCTTCCTTCCTCCCTCAGTTCGTCCTCTTGGTCGGTGGCCTTTATATCCCCCTCTGTTCTGACTCTGTTTTATTTGTCTCAACAGGTGGAGGACAGAGATTATCTAGAGAAGGTGAGTTGACCTCTTCACCAAGGGGACGTTACAACATGTTGGACTTTATTTTTGTGCTTTACAATTTATTGTGTAACTTCTCTCTCTTTCTCAGGGATCTCGAGCGGCTTCTGCTTTAACTGCAGCAACCCTCACATCTTTAGGTGGGACGTCCTCCAGGAGAGGAAGTGGAGACACAGCAATAACTGCAGACACTGAGACGTCCATACGAGAAATCAAGGTAACACTGAAGAGATGCAGCTTCCTAGAGACACAGAGAGACACTTCCTATTGGATCATGTTTTTAATATTACACCCACACAGAGTTATTGAAAGATAATTGAAAGATATCGGTAAAAGACTATTGGACAGTCACTCAGTAATGAATATTAAACTCAATTGAACCAGTTGATGCTTACAAATTTGTTGTTGTCCATCACAATTTTGGCTTCCACAGTGAATTAAACAGTGTTGTGCAGGGCAAGACTACATTTATATCAATCATATTGATATGTATTAAATGTGTGTTAAGTTACAACATGAAAGTTAAGTCACTTTTGGTTTGACTTGAAACAGCAGCAGCTCTGTGTCACAGTAGAAACCATCCAGAGTTAAATCTCAGTGTTCATACAGGAGGAAATCCAGTGTAGAACAGGCACAATGTAATCTTTCTAATAACAGTTTCCTTCTTTAAACCACAAGTCCACAGTTGGCACAAGTTAAATAAAAGCATATCAAAAGTGTTCTTCAGTGCAGTTCTGTGCTGTGTTCATGCCATTTTCATTCTTTCTGCAAAACCCTTCACTGTTCCTGTGATCATTGTCCGGTCACCAAACTCTCTGCTTGACGTTTCCTGACGCTGTCACGCTCTGCTTCTCTGCCTCTCTGCCTCCTCACCGCCGCTGCTGCGCTCTTCACCAGGAGATTCATGAACTGAAGGATCAGATTCAAGATGTGGAATCCAAGTACACGCAGAACCTAAAAGAAGTCAAGGTATAAGCCTGAGACCCTCCCACAAATCCCAGCTATCTCCAGACTGTTAACTAATGAGATTGCTGCCCCTGACTTACGCTGGTTACTGTAGTTTTTTCAGTCAAACCAAGAGCACACCAGGTAGTCTAATGAGATTCTGTGTTCTGAGACCTCGTCCACTACAGATCAATAAACCAACTGATAATCGGATGAGTTTAAAGGCTTTTGAATTGAAACTGAAATAAACGCTGTCCATACAGTACTATAGGAGCAGTAATGGTCGTCCAGACCCAGCACAAACATTGACACACACTGACAGTAGTATAATACTGTGTGCGTAAAGATGCAAACTGACAATTTCACTGGCAAAGTTGCGTTATCATGTTGCTGTCTTTCTTCATTTCGGCGTGTGCATTAGGCTTCACTTCTTTACCTAAATTTTCACTTACCACTTCCAAAGCCTCCGCCTGGTGCATCCATCTGTTACTGCAAACTTACTGTTCGATAGAGGACAGTAAGGCTCCACAGCTTGGTTTGAGGACATGTTCTGTCTGAGCCAGCACCTGTTATATCCTCATATTCTCTCTTTGTGGTGACATTAGGATGCTTTAGTAGAAGTGGAGGAGAAGTATCGTAAAGCCATGGTGTCCAACGCCCAGCTGGACAATGAGAAGAACAACCTGATGTACCAGGTGGACACACTGAAGGACTCGCTCATGGAGCTGGAGGAGCTGCTGTCAGAGTCACGCCGAGAATACGAGGAGAAAGTCAAGGTACAGACGGCAGACAGAAAAACAGCCACGTGTTATTTAGTTTATCTAAATGAAGACATTTCTAGGAAACCTGAACAACTCAAAACTTGATGATGATTGAAACTTCCACAACAATGTAGCCATCTATACTTCTCTGCAGAGGCCTACGTGACTTGCAGTGAACAATAGCTGCCTCTTTATGGCTCCTTGCCGGTGACAGTGAGGGCCGGAGGCATTATTAATTCTAGTTCTGAAGTTGCATTATCATTGTGTGGTAATGCAGCAGCAAGCAAAGACTAAAAACGTCCTAAATTCAAATAATAATGTGAATTAGTTCATGCATGCATTACAGAGGGAGCTCTTCGACTGTCTGATTAGACCTGCACGACAGCCTTTGAATATATCAAGTACTGTGAAGTCATGTAAACACTTTGCTTGTAGACATGAAAGAATAAATGATCAACGTGAAGTGACCAAAGTAGATCTTAGTTAAGTTTTAGTTGACTAACTAACCCGCAGCTGATGCTTCACTCTGACTCTGAACTTCACAAACATGTGGACTGTAATGCACACCATACAAATCTGAGAATGAAAACTGTTGGGTCAGATGAAGACAGCACACTTGACAGAAATGGAAGTAGCTTCCTCATAATGCTTGTCATGTATTTGTGTTTGTGTATGCGTGTGCGTGTGCGTGTGCGTGTGCGTGTGTGTGTGTGTGTGTGCGCGCGCGCGCGCGCGTGTGTGACCCAAAACACGCGTGTGTGCGCATGAGATGGTTGCTCCAAATTAAAACAGTCAAGTAACTGGTGGTCAAACTGTTTCTCTATCCCTGTAGGAATTTGAGCGAGAGAAACATGCCCACAGTGTCCTTCAGTTCCAGTTCAATGAAATGAAAGAGATGCTGAAACAAAGTGAAGAGCTGCTAAATGTGAGTATTTGTCTCCTGGTGTGAACATGTGTCACTAAGATGTGAAGATACTAAAGAACATGAACCAGTGACTCAGTTTGTCACTTAGAGAAGCTGCGTGTTGAGGTGCTTTTCACAGCTTCCTTTTCTTCTCACCTTTCTTTCTTGTACAAGCATGCACTAAATTTCTCCATTTGCCCTCTCTCTCCCTCTTCCTCTCAAACTTTGTTTCCCTCTTCCTGCTATTCAGGACATCCGTCAGCTGCGTATGAAACAGGACGGTTTTGTTAGAGAAATATCTGACCTGCAGGAGACGGTGGAGTGGAAGGATAAAAAAATTGGGGTACGGCCAGTGATCCCTCGTCCTGTAGTTTTGTGTTAACTTAACTTAAATTCAGTATCTCCTTTGCATGACACTGAACACCTGCTTTCACTTTCACTTCTTTTCCACACATCTCTTCCTCCTCTGCGCTCTCTCTGCCACTCGGGGCTCCGCTCAGGCCTTAGAGCGACAGAAAGAATACACGGATGCAATCCGAACTGAGCGAGACGAGCTCAGAGAGGAGGTGGTGAAGCTCAAAGACATTCTGAAGGTGAAATCCTTGTTGTTTATTGAAGGTAGAAAGTAATTACTCAGTTGTATTCTACGTGTACTAAAAATGTAATATCTGAAAATGTGATATTCCAAATGTTGTTCTTTATTTGAATCATCTTTTTTTTCCATCAAAGCCAAATATACAGGATTTGTATCAACTTATTTTCCGTGTGTGTAATCTGTGGCACTAATGTTTGACTTTTCACTTTGTTTAGAAACATGGAATAGTTTTGGGACCGGATCTAAACGTCAATGGGGACATTGGTGAAGCAGAAGTTGACGGGTCACCCAGCGGAGACGCTGCCCGCCAGCCAGCTCAAGATCCTCAGACCCCCCCGACAGAGGGGAACAGCATGCTCGGTAAAACACACTGTGGAATTAAAGCTTTGTTCCCTTTAACTGCATGGCTTGGCATAACATGAGCTGAAGACCTTCAATACAAAATTATTTAGAGTAGAGATGAGACAGAAAGTTCATCATTAATAATATACAAATGAATAGTGAGATTACAAATAACAAATAAAATATACAACAATGACATGAAAAAACTTGTGAAAAAAAAAAAAAACCCAAAACAATCAACAGCGGTGCAAAGCAATAGCTTGTAATATTATAATAAGAATGACAATAACACGGGAGAATGACATCAGTAGTGCAAATAATTAACTGTACACATAAATAACTGACTTCACAAATTTTGAAAAATTAGCTGTATGAGATAATAACCGTAGTGCAACATATAAACAGTAGAGTATAGTACTTTGGAGTGAACTCTTCAGCTGTGAGTGCTGTGCTCCTGCAGTGTCACTTTAACTTAACACTTTTGCTCTGATCTTAAAGGATAAGTCTGGTGATTGCCTGTGTTTTTCTTGAGAGTGAAAAATCATCCTTGAAAACTTGGAAACAGAGGGTGACAAATAATCACAGCATAAGGTCCATTTAGTAGCTGCTCTGGAGCTTAAGAGCTCAACTTGTGAACCAGCCCAGAGCCATAAAGGTTTGAGCATCTACGACTCTATGGCAACTACACTCTGCCTGCTGAGGAAGATGGAGCTAACTAAAGTAAACTAAATGGGGCTCGTGATAAGGTTGTTTTGTCAGCCTTTTTTTTCTTTTTAATTTTCAGCAGGTCAAGTGAAAAGACCAATACCAACAATAATATATCCTACTTACATGTATCATATGTCTATATATTTACTCATCTGTGCCATAGAGCTCCATTGTTTCCAAAACCTATTAAAAACACATCAGTGAGCCACACTGTTGCACTTCATCACCATGAACATGCTCGCTGTTTTTATTTTGAGTCAGTCCCACAAACACTGTCCTGCTGTTGTAAATACCCACAAATGCACCAAATGTGTATTAATCCACGGGTTAAAAATAGTCCCTAAAAATGCATTATTTACTCCTGTTTGAGTAATGTTTGATAAAGAACTACACTGCCCATATGTTTCATGAATCTAGCATTTAAAAGAAAAGTACATCCTCAGTACAAACCAGTGAGTCCCACAGTCAGGAAGTAGTGAGAGACAGAGCGATGGATTGTTAATGAACTCTTCATGGAACAACATACAGAATATCCAGGCTTATCCTTTGAATAACATCTATCTGATTGCTTTCCTGTACAAACTAAGATTCCACTCACACACTCACCTTGTCTTCATTACTAATGTTTTGTCTTTTATTATGCTTCTCCTGCACATCTCAACTAATACATATTACTGCTCAATCACCTCTAACTCTGTTAACACAGGTAGTGTTGGTGTGTAAAAGGCCTGTAGTGGCACACTGACACAGTTGAACATATACTAGTAGTTAACAAATAGTAGCAACTTGTATTTATGTGTAGAGAAAATGGATCTGGATTATTGTATAGATACTGCAGCACTGTAGTATACCTCAGCCTCAGGCTTCTTTTCTTGTCACACTGATGTTCTGGGATCAAGGACTTCAGCGTTGCTCCTGCCTTTCTTCTTCTTCTTCTTCTTCTTCTTCTTGCGCTTCTCTTGAATCATCTTGGCTCTGTGCTTCTTGCCCACTGAACCAATCAGGTGTTCTGCCCTACCTTGACTTCTGCTGATGCACTTCCTGATGAGAAGATTACACTTTTTGAAAATCATGTCTTGAGTCAACATTTTTTGTGGGCCTTTTATCACCGTGTGCTCTTCATGATCTCTCAGGCAACACAGAGGAGACTCAGTTGAGACGTAGCGAAGAGGAAGAGGTGGATCCAGAGCAGCATCAAGAAATGCTGAACGAGGAAGCCAAAGAGAATCAGTTGAGCTCTGACACGCTCTGTAATGCTGCTGATGTGTCCACACTGGAAACATCTAGTGAAGAACATGCAGAAGAACAACAGACATGCTTACGCACAGCAGAAGACAGCGTTGGAGAAATTGGCCTCAGCGAGGACCGAAATGTTGACAGTAATGACCATCCAATAACAGAAGCCAAAGACATCATCGTTTGCAGCCCTGAACCTCAAGAAGTTGTAACAAGTGCTGAGGACAATGTTCAAGAAACAGAAATTCCTGCAGGTGGAGATTCAGGAGAATCGACTAACCCAGATTTAGAGGAGACAGAAATTAAAAGCAGTGATGATTTTAGAGAGACGTGTAACAAGGTTTGTGAAGAACAAGAAAACAAACAGGAAGATGCTGAGGAAGGTAATTTGAGGAATACAGAATCATGTCCTCGCCAAGAAGTCATCAAGGATGTTGTGAAAGAAAATTTAGCTCACAAGACCATCTCAGCCGTGTCAAACACCGAACCTCAACCAGAGCTGGAGAACCCCGAAGAGGTGGAGAACGACGAGGCAGAGGAGACCTCCAGTAAATCTCAGAGCACTACTGCTTCAGGGAAGAAGAAGAAAAAGAAGAGGAGAGGGAAAAAGAAAGGAGGGAACCAACAAAAAGAAGGCACAGAGAAAGAAAACATCAAAACAAAACAAGATGTAGAAACAGCTACAAGAGATAATGGGTCATCAACAGAACCTAACATTGATGATTCTGTCTCTGAAACCCCAAAGAAATCCAAGGTGGATCAAGTTAAAAAAGAGCAGGACAGAAAGGAACCTGAGGAAGTAGATGCAGCAAAAGCAGTGGAACACACTGAAACCTTTTCTCACAAAGACGCTCTCAAAGAACCCAGAATGGAGCATGTTACAAAAGAGCATGACGAGGAACAAACTCTGGAAACTGAGACAGTAGAAGAAATAAAAGAAGTGGCACCCACTGAAACCCTTTCTCACACCGAAACTCTCGAGGAAATAAAAGTGGATCATGTTACAAATGAACAGAACAAGGAACAAAGTTCGAAAAGTGAAATAGTAGAAACAGTAGAGGCAGTGGCAGCTGCTGAAACCTTTTCTCACTTTGAAACTCTCACAGATTTAAGAACAGAACCAACAAAAGATGATCAGGATGAAGAACAAACCTTGGAAACAGAAGAAGTAGAAAAAGTGGACTGTATAACAAATCCTCCAGAGGCCGATGTCAGTACCTCAGATCTTATTGACACCTCCAACGGTACAGAGAGCACTGATGGCCTTCTCAAAGAGTGTACCTACAGTGAAGACGATGCTGTGAACGCAGACATCGCAACTGAGGGTGAAGTCATGCAAAGTGAGTCAGAAGTTGTTGATCACGTAGAGGAGGAAGTTGGATCTGTTGATGAGATGAAACCTGAATGCACAGCTGATAACCCAGAAAACAGCCTTGAACCAAACAGTAAGGAAAACACTGATGTTCCAAATAATGGTGACGTCGCTGCTGATGAATCTGTATCCACAAACAGTTCTGAGAGAGAGGACTTCACTTCAGTGTCATTTGCTGGCGACTTAACCGACCATCTCAAAAACCCGTCAGAGTCAGAGCCGCCATCAGAACCATCTGCAGCCAGGAGCCTGCTCAGTGATGCTGTTCCTGAGGAGGAAGGTCCTGAGGAGGAAGCTGAGAAAGTTAAAGATGAGGAGGAGCCAGGAGAAGAGACTGAACAAGAATGCTTTTTTCCCAGTGTCATTTCTCCTGCTTGTGATGGTGGTGATTCAGAGCTAAAACAAGATGGAGCACAAAAGGAGGAGCCAAAACAAGACTTGAAGGAACCTGAAGATTTAGTTGAGCCAGAACCTGAAGTCAAACCAGACAGCTCCTCACATGATGAAAAAAGTGACAGTTGGACCGGTGCATCATTGATGAAAAACACTGATGCATTAGATGCTGAAGAGAGTCTGTTGGAGACTGAAACCCAGGTTCAACCTTTAGATGATGTAGAAAGCCAAACATTGGAGTGTGTGGAACAGACGGATGACTCAAATGCTAAAGTATCTTTGGAAAGAGAAGAGATCAATACCACTGATGTGTTACATACACCAGACTCTCCAGAAGACGCTGTGGAGACTGGTTCCTCTGTTGAGCAGGACCTCAGCACTGAAGACACAACTGTAGAAGATCCTGAAAATAAACTCAGTCAAAACGATCAGGAAAGTGAGACTCTTTCTCCTTTGGCTGAGCGCGAGGATTCATCTCAACCCACCCAGCAGGAGAGCGACGAAGAGGACGGTGAAGATGAGGAAGGGCAGTCTTTTGATTTTGATGACCTGGATATTGAAGCAGCCGTAGCAACAAATCCCTCAAAAAATCAAGAACAAGAAGAAGCTGAGGAGGGAGTTGAAGTCGATGCTGATGATAGCAACGATGTTAGTTTAGAGCTGTGCCAAAGTAATACCGAGACAGATGAAAATACACAGAACAAGACAATTGAAAGCGAAGACGGTAACCAGGTAGATACACTAGATAAAGAGTCGGACGCTGTGCCTCAAGACAACCAGAACTCTTTGGCTCATGAGGAAGCCGCAGAAGATGGGACAAGGCAGATTACAGAGGAAGGAAAGGTTGTTGGAGAGTCAGGTGTTGTTGAAGAGAATATTAACCAGGAAACGTCTTTACCAGTAGAGGAAGGATTAGATGCTGTTAAGCACGAGTTGCAGGGTGATGACTTGGTTTTACCAAAGAGTGCAGACCAAGAGGCTGGCAACAAAGAGCCACCGCAGTCAGGGAAAGATTTGAAGAAGAACGGCAAGAAAGGCAAAGGCAAGGCCAAAGAGGACTGTAAGATGTCTTAGTCTGTGGTTGGTTTCGATTTATTTGATGTTCCTTTACTCGTCTTTGCTTAGCTGCGGTAGAATAAATATCTGCAAAATCTCACAGCACTTTGATTATGTCCCAAATAAACATTGGTGTAAGTATGTCTATTATTTTAAAAAATGCAAATTAACAGTCCAAAGTCCAAACATCAGTTTTCATTGAGGTCATATGTGCAAAAAGAGAGAGATAAGGATGTAAACTGCGAGGTAACAGTAGATTTTACTAGTGTACAGTACTGCACCTTACTTCAAGTAACATTTATTTAGTTATTGATGCACACTTGTCATGCTGCTTGTAATGTTTTGTGGATAATATTGCTCTGCAGTGGCTCTGCAACAGTATCACACACCATCTGTTCTGCTCTATGCAATTCTCATTCCCTCGAGGAACTCGTTTCACAGGTGAACAATAAAAAAACACACACATAATAATCGTTAATTCTCATTAAGACTCTAGCAAACTGGTTTTTGCATGTTCCAGCCACAGTGTTTAACGTTGAAATGAAAGATGCATCTGTTCACAGGAGTTAATAAGACTGTGGTTTGACTGCATCTCTAAGGACTGTGTAAAATAAATGTATGATAAATACATGTTTGCATTTTGTTGCACTTAATGGAAACGATGAGTTTGGTGCCTGAACGATGAAATGCCAATAAATACCCTGTTGTTACCTGTTTGAAATCTTGATGTAAATCCATTTTTCTACTGAATTTCCTTGTGTGACATCATGAAAATTAAGGTGTCGGCTCTTGGCGAGAAATGTTACAACCATCTTTTTCATCAGCGCATTTATACTCGGATGTCCACGTGGACATGTTGTGTGGTCATATAGTGTGGATGTAGTGTCTGTGCATGCTAACATCCCCCCTCACGCTCCGCTCCATCACTCCCCCCGTGGATTCCTGCTCTGTTGCATGCATCAACCTCCCACCCTGACCCAGCCCCTCCCCCACACCATCCCCTTGGCTCCTCCCACTCCTGGTATGTTAACTTATTTTTTCTTTTAGCAGTTGTATTATGTCATTATGATGCATGACGTGTGAATGAATGATGTGACAGAGATGTGAAATGAGCTTTTGCATTGTCATCCTCTCAAATGTGTATTTTATCTTTTAGAGATTCGCCTGAGGAAACTGGTGGATGAGCGTGAAAAAATGATAGATCAGGTGAGTCAGCGATTCGCTTGTTATCTGAGACACTGATGTGGCTGATAATGTTGTTTACCACTGGTTTAAAAATAGTCCCCAAGTGAAAACTCAGATGAATATCAGACGAGAGTGGTGAGTCAGAACAGAGCTCACTGGGTGACATGTTTCTGCATAAGAACAAATATAGACTCTAGTTTATTTTGAGTCAGTCCCACACACAGTACACTGCTGTTGTAAATACTAATAACTTGCAAAATGTGTATTAATCTGCAGAATGAAAACAGCCCCTAACAAATGGACTGGCTGCTCCTGTGTGTAAAATGTTTGATAAAAACTGCTGTCCAGCTGTTTTAGGGAATTACTTTTTTCTTAAACTATATTTGTGCACTGTTTTTAAAGCTGCTCTAATCTATATTTCCATATAAACAATGGATCGAATTGCTACATGTCATGTGAAAAAGGTTCTTCATATTGATCACCCAACTCTGCAGTTAGCCTCAGGTCTATGAGGAGCTTTAGTGTCTTTTAGCCCGTTGTTTTGACTCGCTGTTTTCAGTGAAAAAAACATAGATAGACATCTGCAGACAAAGTTAGCAATTAGCGACCGGCAGACAGACAAAATTTGCAGCTAAAGAGCCAGGTGTTTTTCTCAGGAGTTGGTGGAGACAAAATCAAAGCTTAAAGGAAAGGGAATATTGGAAATAAGGTTCAAATGATCCCAAATGTTTCTGTGTGTCTGCTGGGTGCGTGAGTAGGCAACTGTTAGCAAAGATGCGAGCCAAATAATCAAGATAATAGGGTCATATTTTGTAAAATTTGTATGCAATGTTTGTCTTGTTATTTAGTAACAATAATTAAATAAAAATAAATTTAAAATAAGCCTGAATAGTGCTGCTTTAAATTACTTTTCAGCAGGAATGAGAATTACTATAGATAATGATGAGGCCAACACCATAACATGCATTAAGTGTGGCTGAGTGTGTTATTTATCATCTGATGTGTTACAACAGGTGAAGAAACTAAAAGCCCAGCTGGAGCAGAAGTCACAGAAGAACGGCACCGACAGCAGTTCAAGCCCAGATGGTGAAATTGTTGAAAATGGCAACGATCCCAACATAATAGAACTACAGAGTAAGTGCACATGCAGAATGCGCATAAAGAGTTCTGTCGCAGTGTCTCCTGCAACTCAATGTTTGCTTTTGCTTAATCCTTCCAGGAGACTCTAACAGGCAGTTAAGCGACTTGAAGTTCAAACTGGTGAAGGCCGAACAAGAAGTGACTGCTTTGGAACAAAACGTAAGCTGAGAAGAGTCATTAAATTCTTAGTGTGCTTGACAACATGACAAAATTCTCAGTTAAGAAGTCTATTCTTCTTGTCTCCAGGTGACCAGACTGGAGGGTCAGGTGACACGATACAAGTCTGCAGCAGAGAACTCGGAGAAGGTGGAGGATGAGCTGAAGGCAGAGAAACGGAAACTGCAGAGAGAGGTAGAGCGTTGTTGTCTTACACTTGCACAGATTAGGAGCTACTTTATTTAACAGGCTCTTTTTAATTAGAAATCATTTCACTCCTCACCCAACAGCTGCGGTCAGCATTGGACAAGGTCGACGAACTTGAGTCAAACAACAGCCACCTATCTAAAAGACTGGAGAAGATGAAGTCTAGTCGTGGCATGGCACAGACTCCATAGCACCAACCACCACACATCAGATCCACCTTCTCTGAATCCCTACCTGGCTGATCACATGGAAAACGAGGCATCCTGCACTCTGGGTTTCTCTTTCGCCTGCCTGATAACCATGTTAAGAAAAAGAACAAAAAAAAAAAACCCACAAAAACAAGAAAGTTAGTTATTATATCCACAGAATAGAGAACTCCAGCAAGCACATGTGCCATTTCTTTGTCTACTTTCTGTCTGATCAGAATCCTTCATAGCGTTGTGCACACACCCAGGAAGTACATGAAGCGGGGAGCGGATGTTTGTGTACCTCATGACTTTGGTTGAACCTCTGCACTGCTCTGCTTGGGGGGGGGGGGCGCCGCCACATGGAGAGCTGACTGAACAGCACCAAGAGGACTTCTCTGTTGTCCAGTGTAGCGAGAGACAAAATGTTGCACTGCCCTCTTCCTGCTGCCTCTCATCGAGACTCAACATATTCACCTGCCTTGCTCACATGGAGGACAGAGAAATTCAGTGAACAGACCCAGTGTCCACGGCCCAAGACTTTAACCTTCAGAGTGCTTTGTGTGTGTGTTGTGAATGAAAGAGCAAAAATGAAGTGTATTTTTCCTTTTCTGACCTTTGCATCCAAAGCCAAACTATTTTTAAAAATGTAAATGTTGAGGTGCGAGTCCAGTTTGTTTGTGTTAGAACCGAACAACAGTTTTTACAGCACAGTATTATCATCACAGTCAAAACAGTCACCAGCTTTCAGCAGTAGATGCTGTATGTAAGGCAGCAGGTTCATTGAATGTTGGAACAGTTTGACCCACAGTGTGAAGCCGCCCGTCTGATATCCAGTAACATCTCCGTGCTGCTTCCCGGTTTATGGAGTCGCTCGCTGGTCGGCTCTCGTGCACACACTTTAATGCTGAGACTGAAGAAATGTGACGACAGGGACTCAAAGCAGGAGACGCTGAACACACTGAGGAGATGCTGCTTCACTGTTTACAAAGCTTTAACATGTTTGTAAGGAAACTTAAAGAACTGTAATCTTTGTGCAATAAAATGTCTAATCATATGGTATCTGCACGCGGACATCTCAGGCCTGGACTCATAAATGTGTGGACACATGAACGTATTGCACCATAGTTTATTCTCCAGATGTTTTCAGCTGTGTTGCCTTCATCAGGGTCGTGTCTGAAGCTGAGACTGACAGTCTGATGGAAACAGCCGTTGGCAAATCATTTTCAAAGTCCACTTACCTGCTACTTCTACTGCTACTTTTCACCATATCACCATGTCATGAGACTGTTGATGTTTAGACTACACAGAATACTGAGCACATTTCCTTAGACTGTCATATCTTTATGTGGCTTAAAATCTTTAGTTTTTAAAAGTGGACAATTTAGCAAACGAATTCAGACTGTTGTGTCAGTGTCTGAGATTGTTTATGCTTTCTTTTTAAAGTCAGTTACTCAATTATGTGACTTTACAAGAAAAAAATCTCCATAAATCCCTGGGTAAAGAGATTTTTTAAGCAAAATGCAAAATGCTCTAATTTTAATGGATAAAAGGGGGATTCTGCAAAAACATTACGCAATAAACATTACTTACAATCCAATATTTGATCTCCAGCGTGTTAACAGGGTCTCTAGATTTTGAAAGAAGCTGGTCCTAAAAAGCTCGGTCTTCTAAATAAAGCATTTGAGTCTGAGGGGGTGAATGAGAAACTGGATATGAAGACATTTTTGGAAATAAAGTTGACGGAGAATAATATGAAGGTCAACTACAGACTGACTTCCTTATTATTAATGATTTTAAAGACCTTTTACACACTCAGGTGTTTCCATATATTCTGGTTAGGACTCTGCTCAGCATGGTGGTGGGTGGAATAAGCTCATATTATTTTGTAATTAAATTATGAGGTCATTAAACTTAATAAAACAAATAAGAATGACTGTAAATCCTCCTGCCCAAACAGGTGCAACAAAACTAAGAGGAGGGTCAGAGAGACGTCATGTAGACAGTGTTGAGGCGCCGTCATGGTCCTGAGGAATCTGATCAGGTGAAATATGTAAGAAGTTGTAAGGACGGGCCCTGCAGGTGGATGTGAAGGGGAGATGAAGAAACAATGAGAGATGACAGAGCACTGAATTATAATTTTGAGATTAAACCTGTTTAACGATTAATGTTTCAATGAAATTAAATTTTTTTGTACATATTTAAAGTCAACTGTATTATTGTATTTATGGTAATGCATGTTTTTTTTTTTGTTAAGTAAACTTTTCATTTTGAAAAGACTAAGGACTTTTTTAGCTAGGATTTATTGTGATGTGCAGTACATATATCTCATGAAGTCACGTGACTATTCTATTGACAATATAGGGAAGCCTGATGCAAGTAAAATATATGGGGAATAAATTACAAGGTAAATTGGAGACATGCAACAGGTTCTCACTGTGTTCTCAAAATGAAAGTAACATTTTAACTTATAATATATTCATTCAATTAACTGATAAAAACCGCATCAAAAGAAAACTTTATAAAAGTATTTGATAGTACTTAGGTGCAAAAATCTCTTTTTCACAGCTGGAAAGCTGCAGCTGCTCTTAAAGAAACAGCATAACTCTCAGAAAACACTGAGGTGAAATTTCAGTCGTTATGTGACTGAGATAACACTGACTGTTCCAGAAGACTTTTTAAAGAAAGTCTCTCAGCAGGAAACTAGTGGACAGTTTCCTCAACATGACGTCAAAAAGTCAAATGAACAATGTCAAATATGACACACACATAGATATTTTATTGGTTACTCTTTGTTCCTCTACAGACTCATCCAGGTTTGGTGAATTGCCTGCTGG